AGGAATGCTTTGTGTTTAGTAAATGATTGAAACCAAGAGAAAATGAGAAGAAGCCTCAAAATGGCACTGCCTTTCCATCACAAGACTTCCTAGGGGGTAGTCCTTGGTTTTGTGATACAGTCGCAGAGAAGCTGGGAACTGGTATATTTTGCTACACACCCACTATTGTTAATGCTGTGATGATCCTATAAAACTGTCTAGCAAATCCCTCTTCTCCTCCCACTGTCTTGCAGTCACGGAAAGCATCTTCACTGTTCATTTAGAAGACAGTGATTTGACTGAGGGCACCAGGGAAAGACAACAGTTTTTTCCACAGTAATGTCTAACAGGCTTGACAGAAGATAATTCCTAGCTCCCTTCATCCTACAGACACTGGAGCTGGATGTGTTGGGAGAAATCATGGGTTTGCTCAGACTCCGATGAGATCCCACAGTGAAAGGCATTATACAGCAGGACACAGCAACCGCAGTGCTTGAGATCTCAGTGTTGTCTAACAGCTCGTTTAACAGCCTTTTTCTAGTCTATGATGTTAACTAAAAGAAAAAAAGGAACATTTGAATCACCCTGACATGGACCTTGTTATGGCATAAGCTACCTGTTATGGCATAAGCTACTGAAGTACACTCTGAGATATCGTAGCCAGCCCTGTGACAATTACAAATTTGTAAGTGTCCAACGCTCTGCTCCAGGAGCCACAAACGAACCTCCCCATCCAACATTTCTTATCAAAGTAACTTTGGCATCTAACCCATCTAACAGCCTCCCAGGTCAGACATGCCTGTGGGACCTACAAATGTGCCCATCCTGTCAAAACAAGGCTGTACACTATGCTTTCCTGCAGTCAGTTAAAAGACAGGCAGGAAAACAAAACCGTGAAAGATAAAACATTAGAAATCCAGATGCAGACACAAGAGCCGAGGTTCCTTGAACACAGACCTTTGTGTTTCCAAGGAAGCAGAACCTCAAATTAACATGCACAATACTGTGCAAACTGCAGCTAGGTTTTATCAGTGTGATCCCTCTTCATAAGGAGGCCAACACAGTTGCTGTGCAGACAGTTCTGTGCTCTCTTGCCCCTTTCAGCACAGTTTCTCACTAATTATTTGCTTTTTTTAAAAAGCAGTAGTCTAAGACAACATTTCTTGGGTGCAAAGCTTTTACAGGGAGGGCACGGCCCTGACCATGGAAATTAGAGGTCAGATCTGGCATCTCATTTCCCTGCTTCCCCACTCCACTGGAGGAAAATTTCCCCACTCATGAACCTCAGTGACTCAGAGCAGCTGATACTCTCCCCTTGAGGCCTCCTCTTTGCTACCATTCTCCATGCAATGTTTATCCCTTCCAAGAGGCTCAGTAGAGGGGGAAAGCAAAGGTAAGAGTACCCAGCTTGCTTGTACAGATTATGGGCTCCTTCATTCAATCCTGTGTTTCCTGTACAATCCTCACAAGAAGAGTCAGCCAAGAACAAGGACACTGACTTAAAGAAAATCAACTCCCTTGCAGAGCCATTCTTGGGAAATCTTGCTCTTTTCTCTGAAGCATGGAGAAGTTTCTGAGTTGCCAAAGACCACAAGGTAATAAAGGTGGGAACTGGAGGCAGGTCCCTGCCCTCAGCCTGAGCCACAAAGGCAAATTCCTTAGTAGCCCCTCTCCCCTCTTTAGACCACAAGCACTACAGAGCAAGAAATGCATGGCTGCTCTCCTGGAGGGCACTAAGCTCCCTAATTCAAGCTCCTCTATTCACTTGCCTTGAAAAGCTTATTTATGACTCTAAAGATACCCCTTGCTAAAATCTTTCTCCATCCTTCCCTCTGTAAGGCCTACAGGTTGCGTGCCACCAAACCTGTGTTGGATACACACCCCATTCAGTGGCCACGGGTCAGACTAAAGGTGTCTGTGGGCTGGCTGGGCCCAGCCCTGCTCCCACGGACGACAAGTGGCAAAACTGGAACCTATAGGACCAGTAGTGGGGTCCTGCCCTTTACCCTCCCACTAGTTAGCGTTCCCATCTCCCATCTCGCTCTGTATTCCCCAAATAAAGGTCACGAGCTGACACGGTGCTTCTCTAAAGACCACTGAATGGGGCATGTCAGCAGGTCTGACTCGGCAGTTCAGCCCATTCATTTCCCATCACCATGGTGCCCTGGTCCGGTGACCGCCTGCCTGGGCGAGCTGAGCTTGTGCTTTTAGTGAGGGGGCAGCATTATGCACCCGTGAGCGTGTGTGCACCACACAAGGGTACTTACAGCTTCCTCTTTATCCCAGTGCTGCTAGGGCTTGATTGGAGCTGGCCAAACAGAAACTGAATCAGCTGTCAGGAGAGATCAAAATCCAGTGTTAATCAGCAGAGTGATTCAGCAGTCCCTGTTCTCGCAGCCATTCTTATCTCACACATTCCTCCCTCCCAACACCATCCTAAAGCTGGGAGCAGCCATGAAATACGGGAGCCAAATTGCGTGAGACATCAGAGCCTAAAACCAAACTAAGTTTTCCAAGAACTCAAACAACCTGTCTAGCTTTCAAGAAACAGCCAGGTGGCTGCTTTGTGTGAAAGGTGCTAGATGCACATGCTCAGCGCTTTCTCTCTCCACTTCTGTGCATGCAGAACTCCAGCTAGGCCTATTAGACGTGGGAATCTGCCTGTGAAGTACACGTGCAAACATTCCTAGGCCTGGAGTTAGACTTGGCCTCCATAAATAGTCTTTAGAGACCTTTATAAGAGGCTCTATAAAGTCTGACAAAGACTTTGCAAGTGAAAGAGGTAACCCCCTAGGGGAGACCCTGGATGGAGGTCTTAGCTCTTTCAGTTGAGTTTTTCAGCCCTGTGAAATTCAGTGTTGATATAAAAGGACACTAAAAAGGATGCAGAATGGCTTCGGAGAGGAATCACTTAGCAACATATACCCAGGTCAGCTTGAGCCTAATGCTCTGCTTTGACCTCCAAACACAGAGAGCATTACTATTATAGATCACAGCTGTCTCTTACTCATTGCTCAATATAACAAAATAGAGTTGCATAAATACCTCTACCATGAGTGGTGTGGCTGGTCCAGCCTCAGAGCTGGAGGAAGGTTTGATGGCCTCGTGCATTTCTGTCCAGTCCTATGACTCTGTGATGCCACGTGAGGATCAGAACGTGGCGCTCAGGGGGACTGGGAAACGTGACATGCTCAGTCACGTCAGCACCATCTGGGAATCACTGGAGAGGCCTTTTCTAGTACTGGTCATGCTAGATTTTAAGGGAGATGGCTCCGCAGTGTTCCTTCAGTCTAAAAGGTTGTACAGTAATTCCTCAACTATATCAGTAGCACCAGAGAATGTAACAGTTGCCCCCCACTGGGGGAATGGCTAGCCAATTCTGCTGCCTGCAGCTTCAGTGCTGGCAGGAGGGGGAGGCTCCTCTTTTGTATGAAGGAAGGAGGAAAGATTTGGGAAGCCCAAAGGCATCGGTACAACCAGAACACAGCCAATACAGGGCAATTAGTGAGAGTTGTGCTCTCTTAGTCAGGACTTAGAGAGAAAAGTGGTTTCTAACATCACAGCAAGGACTGACAGGGAAATTACAATCTTTTGCTCAAGGGCATAATCTATGCTTTGTAATGACCACTTTCCATAGGACACATAAGAACATCACACTATTTGAAAGAGAGGGAAAATAAATATACTGCGATATCAGAGTGTGGAGAAGATTATTGGACAAGAAAAAAAAATCAGAGGAGGACATATACCATGCAGTACAAGTGAGTTTGGAGTTTATATGACCACTACCTTGTTGATCACTTTCTGTTGCTGTGAGTGGTTCTGCCGGAGAGAAACAACTTCCCGCCAAAGAACTTCATTTTGCCTGAAAGTGAAACAGAAACTTTCCGTGAGCACAGAAACATCCCAACAGCCCATGGTGCTGCCATGACGCTCAGTAGATCCAATTGTGCAAAGTCTGTCTCACTTTGGGGCTCTTGCAGTGCTTGGCTCTTTTCAGGTGTCCCAAATGCGGTCACACAATTGCTTTCCTTGTTTTCCCTTGACCTCAAAAGAGCTACAGACCAAAGCATGGAGGAAAAATCAAATAAAGAGAAGTCAACATCTATAGGGGAGGGTAACAGGAGGACATGTATTTAGTTTTTGTGGAATATTTGGGCCAAACTCAGAATTTCAGTAGGGCCAGATTTGTGACTTTGGATGATTTGGATCACCAAGACTGTTCTTCCTGCAGGAGCCAAGAAAGCCCAACCCCTCCACAACTGCCTCAAAGACCAAGAGACCCTACGGACAGAGATCCTATGTATTCTGCCTGCTGAAACCTCATACATGTGGGTGGTACAAAGGCATGTTTGGGAGTGACTGAAGCAGCTAAAGGGCTGCTTCTGCATCTGAGAACCTTGAGCTAGGAGGACTGCAATGATTTCATTAATGGGAGTCGCTGATTTCATCCAGCACAGACCTGTGTCCAGCTTGCAATTGCATAGGATATATTTATTTTCTGTCTGCAAATGTAGCACACAGGGGATTTACAGGCTTCCTTGAACACTCAGCCCCAGAAAGTGGGATGGGGAGATGCAGAGTTCATTTGCTGTGGTGCCTCCAAATCTGGATGCCAGCCAAGTCCATGCTGAAAAAGGTTTTTCCAGTGAATTTACCTCAAGAGCATATGGATGTACCAAAACCAACAGGCCAGCAAAACCTATCATACAGGTGAAATTTATAAATCCTTTTGCTACATATCCTTTAGATGGTTTTAGCCTTTCTAGTGTGGATTGATGCTAGAATTGGGAAGATAAGGTCCAGGGCTCGAAAAAAGCACAGTAGCTGCCCTAGTACAGCAGCTTGTACAGCAAGAATCTCTGCGGTGAACTTTCTGCACTGGTACTGACAGGATTTTCGGCAAAGCAGCTTTCTTTCTGACAGCTTGTACTGGAGTTATGTCTTAATGGTTCTTCACCAGTGTAAATGTCTTAACAAGGTTTCAGCCTGGGATTTCTGGTCTGTCTTAGTTTATAAAAATTGTATTATTTTAATCAGTCGAATGGAATTTTGCCTTTTGCCAGATGGAGGAAGGGAGCAAGCAAATCAAAAGGGAGAATAAACTAAAAGCAAGGCCAAATCATCGATACTGGAATTCCTTAAAAATTAAATAAGAGACAAGCCTAGAAACAATTTCTGTAGCTGGATTTCATTATTTCATGCGTGTGCTAAGTGTGGGAGTCATTAAAATTTGAGAGAAGATAAAAACATTTTTCTGTTGCACCTAAGGGGCTGGGCTGCAATGAAGTTTCACAGTATCTCGTGTTCTCTCAAGGTCTAGGATGCCAGTGTCCTCTGGTGATGTATGAATATCAGCTTTCATTACAAAAGAAAAACTTCTTAGGTCTTATTGTTTAAAAAGCACTTGAAAAATCTAAGTTCTCTGTAAGGATTAAAATTCTGTAGGAAAATAAAAACCTTTCCAAGTACATAATTTATAAAACCGTATCCATTTACTAAATTCCTAGTGACCATGTCTGACTCAGAAAATCCCAGTGCCTCAGACAGCTGGAGGTCAGGCAGCCACATGTAAGAAACATTGCACATGCTTGTTTTGCTCTTATACAACAATTTTGGCCATGTCAGAAGACACAGTCTTCAGAGAGATGGACTAAACACTACAGCAGTTCTTGTGTTCTTATATACTTTAGGCCAGTCATATATTTTGGAGGTGGAAGATGATAGAGTTGGTTTGGCTTTTTTGATAGCTGGAAGGGGCACCACCACATTTCTGCCAAGGACTCTTCTAGGTGTGAGAAAGAGTTACATCTCTTTTTACCACCATTTGTATCTGGAGGAAATACAATTATCTGAGCTAAGTCCCCAGGTTATACACATACTTCCTGCATGGCCCCCTCTGTGCTTTCCTCATCTTTAAAGGGAAAATATAGAGGAAGAGAATATGTCCATATTTCACAGAAGACAGACAGGCTGAGGATTAATTCATTTTGTAGATCGTGGGGTCTGCATAGAAATCCTACATGTTATTGTCTCAAAAGACCTAGTCCCAACCACTAGTCCCTGGCTCAGCACATGCTCCCTGGGAAGGAGGTGTGTAAGGTTCCTCCTTTCAAACATTCCCCAAGATCAACAACTCTCTAGAAACAAATGCCTGTAAGAAGGAGCCTGAGTAGGATTCAACTCACTGCTTCATGTCCTGCACTTGACACTCCATGTTCTCCTGCTGACTTCTCAGTATCTGTACCTCGTATAGCAACCTGCTGAGGTCCTCCTGGCGCATCTTTGTCTCCTCACTTTTCACTACTGACACCTGAGGAGGAAAAAATCAAAGGTGCATTTTAGCAGCACAAGAAGGGCATGGACAGACAGAGTCATTGCTGTGGCTCAGGTGCAGGACTTACACCAGCTGGGCTCTGATGTGCACAAATACTGGGACAGGCAATGCGTGCACAAGAGTCTGAACTATCCTTAGGGTATTACTGCAAGGGTCAAAAAGGGATAAAATAGAGCAAAGAGCAGGAAAAATGCTTTCATACAGAAAATCTGTTGGCAGCAGGACATTCTCCACTAGAGGGGGGGACTTATTTCAAATCAGCTTGGGGGTGGGTGTGGAAGGTATTTTGAGGAACAGGGCGGAATTGAACTAGGCTATTTGATTAATTCTTTCTACTTTAACTACAGAGAGACCAAATCCAGCCTCATGTTTTACAGCAATGGGCCTGAGGAACTGCTTTAAATTGATATATTACACTTGGAGTTCCAGAAGGCTTTTGCTGAAGTCCCTTTTCTGAAGTCAATACGCTAATGCAGTAAGAGAACAGCCCTTTCTGGGCATCAATAACAGGTTAAAAGGTAGCGAACAGAAGGCAGGAGTAGGTTATCACTTCTATAATAACAGGAGATGACTGTTGGGAGACCCAGCAGGAGTTATATTGTACTTATCTAGCAAAGTGGGTAATGATTCAAAAGCAGAGTGGTGCAAAGCAAACCTGGCCATGCAGTGCTACACGAAGGTCTCGTGATACTGAGTGACAGAGCAAAAAACCACAGACGAAACTCTGATGAAAGCCAAGCCCTGCACACAGAGGACCCCCCACCCCAACCATATATGTATACGGAGAGGACAGAAACCAGACCACAGGGTGATCTTGGAGTTATGCTGAGCGGTCTATAGCATGGCGGCCTGTGCTCTGAAAGCAAACAAGCATTTTGGGAGTTATCAAGAGAGGACTTGCAGCTGTGGTAGAAACCCTCGCAATGACCATGGAGTGCTGTTCTGGTCAATCTGCCCCCAAAAAAGGGATGTGGGAGGGTTAGAAAGCCCCAGGGCAGAGAGCCATGGCAGCAGGCACAGAAGGGCTCCTGCTCGGGGAGAAACGAGGCCCTGCTTGAGACATCTGAGGGACAGGAAACAAGTATTCACTACTTCTCTCCTGGCAGAAGGCCTGGGGAAAACAAATTAAATAAAGAGGCAGCAGGCTTAAAGCGAACCAAAGGAGCTATGCCTCCACACAGACCATTACTTAAGTTTTGGGGCATATTTTTGCGGGATGTTTTGAAAAAGCACCACGCAGCCTCTCCACACTGGTGGTGTGGAACCTTCTGGACCAGAGGCTGCCGCACCTCAGCCCTCCCTCCCGCGCGGGGGGCTGGCCGGGGAGCCTGCCGAGGCCCAGCCGGTGCGTCCCCGCCACCCGGCCCCCCTCACCTTCCTCTTGATGTGCTCCAGGAGGTGCTCGTGGCCCTGCAGGAAGCAAAGGTGCTGGAACTCGGTGTCGTCCCGCTCGGGCTTAACGAGACCCCCCTGCTCGATGTTCACCACCTTCCTGAAGCCGTCTGTGTGGAGAGGGCGCGGGTGAAGGGCTGACAGACCCAGGCCCTCCTCCTCACCTCCCACCCCATCACTTTTGAGGACATTTCTGTTCACTCCCCCCACTTTTTGAGCTGCTCTGGTGCTCGAGGCACAGCCGTGCCCCTCCCTGTGGCTAGGCACACTTTTGGGCCATATCTACAAGAAATCCAGTGCAAGGGAGAGCCCCATGGCTCTGGGACATGTGGGCATGTGGGTCCATCTGCGAGGAGCTGAAACACCTGCTCTTAAGAAATCTCTGGTTTGATTAGCAAGCCAAAGGGATTCAGGGGAAGGTTTTTCAAAGGCACAGACCAGCATCAGGTGCCACTTTTGGAAAAAAGGGTCACATGCACATTTGCAAATCTACTTCGAGTACTTCTCTGAAGTCCTAGAAAGGTTTCTAAACCATATCTGAAGACTGGCCTAAAATTTACAATAGTGCTACTGTATAGTTAAATAGCAGTTAAAACTGAGGAACTTTGTGAATTAGTCATTGAAAAACTTCCAAAAACTATCAGAAAAGAACCATATTTAATACAGTCGTGGTCTCGATGTGGCTAAAAACTACACGTAAACCTCCATGAAAAGGTGAAAATGTCTGAAAAGCAAGGTAAGGTATTGTCCATAATTAGTTCAGCGATACGGCTGGCAAAATGGATGAGCTCTGGGCATGCTACCCTCAAAAGCAGCAGTTTCTGAGGGAGGTGTCACAGTAGCAGGCTGCTGGAAAAAGCCCCATATAGAATAAAATGGGAAAGAAATAATAATAGGTCATCAAATTGATGCAAGAGAAGCCGAAAACCTGGTAGCTGGAATTTCTTAGCTTGCATCTTACAACGTAATCTAACAGAAATTTAAGGCTGGAATCTAAGGAAATCACTCCCCTGGGATCTCAGAGGCAAGTCCTCTTTGGCAAAATCAATAATGCTACAATAACGCATACACGCGAGATCTCAACTTTTCTACCCACAGTTCTCTTTCATGCCTCCTGTCCCACCCGCACTTTCTGTCGCTCCCCCCGTGTCTGTAGGACCCACATGGCCTAGGCTCTGGAGGTTGAACTTACACATGTTCAGCTGTCGGACAAAACTGGCCATGTTGTTGTGTTTGAAATACTTGGGCAGCACCTCTTTGGCAAAGCGTCCTTGGTCGAACACATGGAAGCTGGTGCCATTCTGCAAAGGAGACATGGACAAAGGTGAAGTCAGAGGAGCATCCCTGACCACGAGAGGTGCCCAGAAGGAGGTGATTCCCTTGAGTCCTACAGCGGGGGAAGTCGTGCTCTCTGAATCATCACCTTGAAGCTGAGAAGAGTGACAACAGCCTTCAATGATGGATGTGCTCTTTTCAGTTCTGGTAGTCAGTCCTCTATGACTGCAGTTTTGATCTTTTTCTACTAAGCTTTGCCACTGCTTAGTTCAGAGCCTTGGATGTGAGAAAGAAACTACAGACTTTTACACACAAATAGCTGGTAGCTTGTCCACCCTTGCGTGGACCTCACAGAAAGACTCTGGTGTCTGAAGAAGGTCCTGGAAAGGGGGGATTGCCATTATAACCCCTCGATCTGCTTGTATAGGTCTAACACTGACCCCTGTGCTCCAGAGCACAGCAGCCCTGGAGGGAGCGCTGCCTGGAGACATGGTACAAGAAACACAGCAAGGCAAGAAAGGAAATCATCCCTGGAGACACCACACTGATCCAGAAGCTCTACACACCTTTTCTTGACTATTTTTGAAAGTACACATCTACAAGGGCAACCGCAAAATGTTAAGTGTCATGCTTTACTGCCCAAGCTAGCAAGACGCATGTTAACCAGATAAAGTATCTGTTTCTGAGGTTGCATTGCCAGGGTTCGTGATTGCAAAACAAGGCAAACTCCCTGGGATCAATGGCAGAGACGGACCCACTGCAGGCCATGTGCTTCCCCTGCCTGGCCTTCTACCTGCCGACAGTTAAACTGGTACAGAGAGGGCCTGTGAGACACAACGCGCTGAAGCTGCCTTGAAACTTTTTGCAAAAAGCAATCCATGTGACCTTTTTAAGGGACAGAAAAATTAGCAATTAATTTTCATCTGTAACCAACGCTTAGAAACAACATTTTCTAAATCTCTGACCTCAACAGATCAGTCTCTCCAGGACATGGTGATAGGGGGACCACCTTAAATCCTATCTCTGCTCTGGATGTGGCGGCAGCACCAGGAATTTGGAGGAATGAAGAATCATGATTTCAGAGATGGAGTTTGGAGCACACGTGGCATTTTTGTAAACTTGCAGAGAACGGTATCTTCCAGGGGCTTTGCTTGTGGACAGAGAAAGAGCTGCAAAGAGCTACCCGGGGAATCATCCAACTGTGCAGCCTAAGTGCTTTATGGAGGGATAGGCAAGATGCAGAGACCTATGCCAGGGCAAAGACATCAGCAGATATTTAGGACTTACCAACTCAGCTGCTGCTGAGTTTCAAGGGACAGCTAGCTAAAGACACCAGGGTCTGCACAGTGTTGGCAGGGAGGGGTCTGAGACCAGCACAGTCACAGTCATCCTCCTGCTGTGTTCAGCGTTATTACTGGCAGTCAAGTGGTGTGTCAGCTTGGGGCATTATTTCACAGCGGACTGGTTTCTGACAGAGGAGGACAGCGTTTCGTAGGAGTGAGCACTCAGGCTCTGCATGCAGTAGGAGCGTACCCGCAGCGTGTGGGTCCCACCACGCACCCATCACAGGGTTCGTAGCTGCATGGGTGCTCTCAGGGCTGCCTGGAAGTTTCTAAAACAGGGAGTGTAATCAGGACCATGAGAAAATTCAGCAACTAAAGAGGTGCCGGTGCATGTCTGTACCCTGCCCACAGCCACCAGAAAACAGCCAGCTGGCAAACCCTGCTGCCCTACTCATTGCCACTACGTTTCCATCACCAAACAGTGCCAATTCCCTCTGTGCTCTGGCTCGTTTGTCAGCTCTACAATTAACCCCGCATGCCCACAAACGTATGACTCTGGGTCAACTGTACTTTTTGCTCCTTGTTGACTGCTGCAAACACTGCACATGACTGTTTGCCTCGACAGTGTCCTTTGACTATCTCCAGGGTCTTTCCTAATCGTTCCTTACCCCACGCAGCAGAAGCAAAGGCTGGTCAAGTGCTTAAGAGATTCACTGATAATCCGAACACTGAAGTTATCCTCACAGACTGAGCTTGCAGACATGACAGCAGGGACCAGGGTTTCCCAACACTGCAAAGGCTGTTCTGGGGACAGAGCTGGTTTGTCCTGCTTCCCTTGTGCTTCTGCCCACTCACTCTCCCTGGGATACAGCTGTGTGTCCCAGGCTGGGCAGGCTGATGTAAAATGAGAAACGCAAGGGTTTCGTGTACCTGAACATCTCGTTATGGCCTCTCTTGAGAGGTCATTCCTCTGAATTCAGGGCTGCAATGTTCTCAGAAGCTGGCACACCCAAAAGGGTTCCTACAGACACAAAAAAGACTTTGGAGTTACTGTGTGTTCACCAGTGAACCATGCATGTGCTAGCTTGTTCCCACACAGCAGCTGTGCCTTGCTTATCTTACATCATGGGAGCACAAGCTGGGAGACACTTCTCTGCCTGAGGCAAAATTCACTCTGCAGCATGTCAGTCTTGGCAGATGCTTATCTTAACTGTTTTTGACTGACCCATGATGACAGACACCCTGTGCCCTGCCCAGGCAAGCTATTCCAGGAATTTCCCAGGAGTTCTTCCCAACTGCATCTTCCATTTAAGCTATTCATTTAATTACTTCTTGTCCAATCTACCATGGACACAGATAGCAGACTTTTCCTTTCCATCTTACGACAGCCTTTAGTGTATATATAAACCATTACCACGTTTCCTCTCCATCTCTTCTCCTTCATGTTAAGAAACAGTTCATAGGTCCTTATAGGTCCTATTTTCTAAGAGTTCTGATTACATCCAGAAATCTCAGGCATGCACACTGTTTCTCAGCTCCAACAACACTGATGGATAGAAGAGGAAGAACATGGGAAACATAGGAACATGCAACATGGGAAACTTAGACATCTAAAAGCCTTACCAAAACCTCCCAAGAACGTACCTGTAGGCTATCTTAGGTTGCAGGAAAGCAGAGCATGGTGGTGGTGATGGGCAGACAAAAATAACGATGTTGTAAGTGTAACAGAGAGGGGACTGTTTATACATGTTAGAAAATCCTTCCTAGTTTGAAAGTCCTTATTTAAAACACACAATACCAAAACTTGGTGGTTCTCAGAGGTATGTCCACCTAATACCAACATCAGAAAGCAACCACTGCCTTGGATAACAATGCAGCTCAAATCCTATCTCAAGTTTTGAATGAAAACCCTACTGGACACAAACACATGACAGAAAGGCTGCTTTAGACTTTTTTTTCCCTTTAAATCTGCTTTTGTTAGAGGTTCTTGATTTTGGAGAACAAGTTTATGCACACAACTTACCTGATAACTCCCTGCTGAAGACAAATCACATTATTTGCCATAAGTCTTAGTCAGGTCAAAAGCACAATGTGGTATCAAAATGCTGTAGGAGGGGGACAAATAAATCATTCTAATTCTCTGATTGCACTTAGTATGTTAATGCTTCAGCGACAAATAAGAAGCCAAAGCAAAGCAATCTATCCCTATGAAGCTGTACAGACAATACATACACACATCACCATGATCATCACACAGACTCGTTGAAAAATCAAGTAAAGCTCTTCCAAAACGTGAGTGATTTAGGGTGCTAGTCTGGGATATGTTTAAACTATAGGTTTTAGCCTGAGGTCTGAATGCTGTTTATCTGCTGCCTTCTCCCAAGGCATTTTTGAAAGGCTGCTAAGAAACACATGTGAAATAATACAAACAGCAGTGGAATTTTTAAGGGCTTTGCACCTTTTCCAGAAAATTTTAGGGAACCGCAGATTGAAGCAAGGGGAAAAACCTATTTCTCTTAGAGACTCTTGATTTTTAAAAGATTCAATATTAGACACACCTTAAGATGCTTCAAGTGAAATGTGTAAATATTGTTATTAAAACACTACCAAACCAGTTGTCCCTTTGAAACAGAAAAGCCACACTACTGCAGATAAATAATACCAAGTATATCCAAAAGGCCCCCTAACAAACTATCAGTCCTTTCACTCTCCCAGTTAGCTGGCCAGCACTTGTAAAGCAAAGGGAAGTTGCCGTGCGATGCAGGTCTTAGGCCTTGCACCTGGGTTTTTCCTGGTGTTGCAGGCACTTGGTGACACCCGATATTCGCTGTACTTACAGTACTCCAGCAGATGAGATGGTTCGTTTCAGGATCTTCCACCAGCGTCCAGAGTTTGGTTAGGAAGGCTGGCACATTGCTGGAGTATCCATCCATCACCAGAGAGCTGGGTGAATCCTGCATAGTTTTTCAGCGTCCCAGCTACACTAACCCCATTGCTCTCGGCGTGCCTGCCTCCCTGCACGCGCGTGCATCCGACAGAGAATGAACCACCGAATTTTATCCCAGGCCAGTGGAAAGTAGGATCCCAGGGACTCACATCAGCAGTGCTGCTCGCACTCTTAAAAACTCAGCACAATGCGATGGCATCACCGGCCCCAGAGAACAATACACAGAATGAAAATGCACTGCAGCCGATCTCACAGAGCTGTGAATAAATACGCAGCGTCATGCAAAGGGAACACGTGCTGCGCACCTTATGCTGGGAGGTTAGCAAGTCACTGGAGTGAACCCACCTGCCCAGAGCCTGTGGGATGCCCGGGCACAGCAATGCCAGGTTTGTGAAGGCACCTGAATTGTTATTTTGGTATTTTCTTGTCCTAAACTTTGGCCAGCACAGATGAAGAAGGGCTGGCCAGACCTCAGGGCTGCACATCTTTGGCAAGGTTTTGAAAAGTCAAAATGGTAAGTTGGTTTGGCTACCGATCCCATGTTATTTGTCAAGAGAAATGATTGGGCTCTTAGGTAAGAAGAGAGGGTGATGAAAACAGCTACACATAGAATCTAGATGACAATATGCTTTTATTATTATTATTAGAAATGCTTTAGATAGATAGCTCTAAATAGGTGTTTGCAGTGTAGCTTTATGCCAGGATCATTTCAACTTGGAAACTGCTCTTCAAATAACATGCACCAAAATCTTTGGTACAACAGACCAACACACACATATCCTAATTCAGATGCAAGACAACTTGCATGTGAATGCAGAGATCAGATGCAAAAACTGTTAACTCTCTTGATTCTCCTAAGAAATACTAACAATGGAATAAAAGCAAAGGACTTTGCAAAAGGCATTTGAATTATAACCTGGAAATCTGCATTCCTGAGCGACGGAAAGACAAGATGGTCAAGGGAATTTGCAGGCTATGTGCCTTTTATTACTACCTTGTCAAGGTTTTTCCTTAAGTGCTTTTTCTCCTGCTTGTATTTCCTAACATAATTCAGCTCCTGTTATATCCCTCCATGCTGGAAGCTACCTGACAACTGGGTAACAGGTGAGCTCACCATCAGTGAAATGCCAAGAGAGGAATTAATCAAGGTTAGAGTGAATATTCCATCAGATGACCACATTTCGTTGCTATAGCTCACTGAATCTGCATGGCCAAGTACCCCACTGGGCAGAAAATGGCTGCATTGAAGCGCCCACTTCCTTTACTATTTAAGTAGTTGCTGGGCACCTGACACAGTGTGCTTGACTTTGAGGTGCTTTTAAAATGTAAAATCAAAATTAAATTTTGCTCAGGTCCTCAGTAAAAACTCACAAAGGGTAAACTTGGCATTCTTGCTACTGCTAAATAAAGAAGCAGAGAAGAAAAGACCTGCTCTCCATAACTCAAGAAAGAAAGAAAGAAAAAAAAAAGAAAAAGAAAAAAGGGCAATTCTATTATTCTATTTCTCTGCATAACCCTTTCTCTATTACATTTGAGTGTAAATGCTTGGTCTGCAGAACAGGTGTGCATCATATGTAACGGCCAGTGCTGGTGAAACAGCATTTTCTCAGTGAGCGCAGAGGGCATTTTGCAGCGTTTTTCCTTATAGTCCTAAATATTCTGTCCCTGTCCTGGAAGTCAGCAGGAGCCGGTCACTGAACTGTTACTGGTTTCCAGGGGTGCCGTTCCTTGGTGACCTTCAGAGTGTATTGTTTCAGACTGGGGCAGTGTGTAAGGAACGCTTCTACCACCGCCTGGCTGACCACACAGTAGCAGTGGATCTCCAATAGATTTCTGCACTGCCTGGCCAGATCTACTAGCGAGGAATTTAAGTCCTCCGAGGACGTGGTTTGCAGCGTCAGCTTCTTTAAAGTACTGCTGTAGCTCTGCGTGACAAACCTAATCTGATCTACCATGTAATTGTAAGTATTAAGTTGCAGTGTGCTCACAGGTATATTCAGTTTTAGGATCCGTGGTATTTTGCAGGCAGGAACCGTATGATCAAACTCTAGGTCTACACAGAGTTGAGGATGCTTTTGACTTACAGCAGCCCAGAGCTCTTCTGAGATGACTGGTATATATTTGTCCAGGCGCTCACAGAAAATGTCTAAATGGGTGAAAGCTGCTCTTTGGGGCTCGAGCAGCTCCTGAAATACATCATCAGACAAACTGGCATAGTAAACCCCCAAGGCTGAGAGTTTGGGACATGCTCTGAGAACTTTCCTAATGGTGTCTGGTGCCACATTGCATACCAGGGTGCGGTTGTTGATGAACAAGCTGTGCAAGTTTGGGTTGGTGGTAGCTAAGAGTTCAACAAGCTCATCGTCGAGAGTGAAGGGCATTTTTCGAAAATCGATATGCTGAAGATCTATCTGGTTTTTAGTGTCACATATATTCCGTATGCTCTGTAGGATGTCCTGGCCAGAGTAGAAATAGGGGTTCTCCCCATGGCACACAATGCACAGCTGCTGCAGTTTGTGGTTCCGTTTTGCCAACACATCTAAGATGCGTGTCACGTTCTTCCGGTTGACCTCCTTGGACTGGTCAAATACAATCTTCAGGTGCTTGATTTGGCTGAGGAACTGGAGCAGGCTCTGCAGCATGCCTTCCTCATCCTCTGAATCACAGCTGGAAGGGTAAAACAAACTCTTAGTCACTCTGAACGCTAAGCTGAGCAACCACAGAGCAGACATTCTCCTTTACTAGTGTTTCTGCAAGCATCAACAGACTCCCCAGACACTTCTTCTCACTTGATGCCTGAAGAGTCACTGTAAGGTCAAACACTGAAGGAGTCAGGAGGTGAGAGGAGTCAGTCCCCAGAAAGACCTTTCAGAGAATTAAGTGTCGCCATGAAGTTGACTAGTTAGTAACTCTCTCTTGCCATTTTCAAATGGCAACTTAGGGCAACTTACCTAAGACGGTAATACTTCCTGTAAAACCCAAATCACCAGCAGCAATTAAAAAACCCCAGCACGTAACACAATTTTCTCTATTACATAAAAAGGTGCTAGACATGTAAGATAATATCATCACACATAGAAGTCACGATTAATGTCAATAATGTCACAGTAGAGTGGTGTGTTTGACAGGCACTGAAAACATAATGTTATGCCTGCAGAGGTGCCTGGACATCAGACACCCACTCCTCTTACCTGATCTCTGTGAAATGCCAAACAGAGCTAGAAGAAACAGCTGTAGCCCACTGCCTGCACACCTGGAAGACTGTGTATCTATCTCGAAGAGAAAGATAATAGAAAATTTGGATAAGGATTTCTTCTGGGATGTAGTTCCACAGTCCTGGAAATGGAGCAGGCATTTTCCCGATTCAGTCAGGTTTAAAAATGGGAAAAACGTCCAAAACTGCAATTAATTCTCAAAAGTCCCTGTTCAGAAAAACAAAAGAGAGAGAGAGAGAGAGAGAGAGATATTAGGATTTATTTAACAAATCAAACCAATGCAACTGGATCACAGAGGAGGTCAAAATTTTTTCACATTTGAAATTTCACCAGATTTTTAAATTGAACAGAAAAATGAGGAAAATCTGTTGGCCAATTGTTTTGCACAGTTTTTTCAATCAATCCTAAGAAGATGGGTGATACTTTTCAAGAGTTAAAGATGTCACATCAAAGCTTTTGGGGAAAAAAAAAAAAAGCAGCTTTTTTTCCTGCAGTAATAAAAATGCAAGGGAATTTTCTAGTACTGCTGCACTGGTAGTCAAAAAGCTGAGACAGATTTCTCAAACTGTGGGGGCAAAAAAAAAACCTCTTTGCAAGCAGAAGCTCTGCAGAGAAAACAGCCTCACATATCTATTTTTTACTGATAGTGAAACAGAAGGCCTATAGTAGAAACTGGTAGCTTAATTACAGTGGTCCTTGCCTGTGATAAGATGTAACAGTTTGAAAAAAAAAATTACTGTGACTCTAGTTCTCAGAAACTGTATTTACACGTCTGACTTAGAAATGGAAAAGCATATTTTGATTAACCTTTCATGTGAAGTATAATGCAAAAGAATAAAGCGCCTGGGAAGAAGGCTGAGGTTCATCGCATCAGACCATTACCTATCTTTTTCATTCATCTTCTTCCAAAACGTGTTGCACCCATCTTCTAGATTTCTGCACAAATAAAACTACCAACATGACGTATTTTTTCAGCCCTCTCACACTGGAGCACTGGAGCGTAGGCCAAGTCTCGCAATCTCCCTCTGGATTTCATGGCATGCCCTCCTGCTTGTGAAGCCCCAGGTCCCGGAGTCATGGCATTATCTCAGTATTGCAGGTTTCATTTAAATGAAAAGCTATGCTTCTAGATATCCTTGAAGTAGGGAACGAGTTGAAAAACATGAAGCAAGCACAGAGTAGCGATGCAAAAAGCATCATGCAGAGAGGAACAGAACTGCACATTTTTCTAGAATACGCTGCTTTGAAGCGTGACTCATTATTTTGAGGGCGAGGTGGCAGCAGCATAGCAGCTATGCTATCTTATCTACCATCATATCGGCGACAACCCCCTTTCCACCCACCCTGAGCTGGAACAGCCAAGCGATACAGTCCTGCTTCCTTCCTGGGAACTCGCTGTCTTTTGTCATTTTCTCTGACAATTACTTTCACACCTCGGACCCTGCTTTTCTACTTTTAGCTGCTTTTAATACTGTCTCTAATACACATTTGCCAAAATATTAAACTGCTCTTTGCCCTACATAAAATCTTACGTGTTCAGCCTCTTTTATTTACATGATGATATTTTTCCTTAAAGCCTGAGCCCTTGGGGTCATGCAAAAAGCACCCTGAATCACTTAGAAAGTAAAAGTGCATTTCTAGCCATGGTGATTGCTTGGAAAAGCTTAAAAATACGGCCCGAGAGCAGGAGGGCGGGCAGAAAGGCAAACTTCTTAGTGCTACTTTAAGTAACCGCATGGCTTTGAGTCAGCGAGGAGTACGGTTCACGGTGTGTGAAGGCTGCGGGTTGGCTTGGGCC